CGAAAGGGGTGAAGATCTACTTCCAAGGCCGGGGCTTCATTTTGAGAAGTGGCAGGGCAATAGGGTCTGTATTAGTGGGGGTGGGGACTAGCACCGCCCATGTCTTACTGCACCCCTTCACATTTTGAAATCCAGTTTCAGCTCAGATGGACAATTCATGCCTCCCTTTGCCCCCCGGGACTGAAAGCACATGAGCATGCAGACAACCTGACCCCTCTTACAGTACAGGCAGTCCCCGGGTTACATGGATCCGACTTACATCGGATCCCTACTTACAAACGGGGTGAGACAACCCCGCACTAGCTGCTTCCCCCCAGCAGACCAGGGAGACGCGGAGCGTCTTTTCTCAGCAGACACCTCAGCTTGAGAATAAAGGACTGAGGGAAGTGAGGTGTGGGAGAATAAAACTGAGCTCTGGAGAAATGTTTGGCTAGAGTTTCCCCTACAATATGTACCAGTTCCGACTTACATACAAATTCAACTTAAGAACAAACCTACAGTCCCTATCTTGTACGTAACCCGGGGACTGCCTGTATCTTGAAACAGAGCTAATCCCTCCCATTGCCGCCGAGCCTGGAGCCCCTCACCAGAGGAGGGCAGACTGTAGCCTTAAGACAGGAGCAAAATTACAGTCGGTCATAAAAAAGGGTTGACGTTCTTTTTGCATACGGCAGAGCTTTTTCCTAATGACAGCGGTGATTCAGACAGCACTTCCCCCATGCATCCGTCTCATGTGCACGATTAAGAGGCATAAAGGAAAAAAATGTTTTCTACACACGAAGTGGCACAGATCAAGATAAAGCTTTAGCCAGCTGTAGATTTTTATTTGATTGCCACCAGCTGCAACATCCCTCTGCAAAGTCCGAGGTCAGATGCCGGCCATAAACACGGCTGTGTTTACACATGGGCTTTGTTATGCATAATTAATACACAGTTCCCCCAATGCATTGCTAAGACAGTGATGTTTGACGAGCACACAGGTTGTGTCTGGGACAAGGGACCAAGGCACAAGCTGGGATCCATCCTCCATCATGAACGTTTTGCTGCCCATTCAAGCGGTGGCAATGAATGGAATTAGAAAATGAGCACCAGCATTTTTATTGGCAATGCAAAGAGTGAAGCGCAAGCAACCACTGACAGACAAATATTTCCATGTGGTCCTATATATTTGTTAGTCTCTAAGGTGCCACAGGACTACTGGTTGTTTTTAAAGTTACAGGCTAACACGGTTGCCCCTCTGAGGGTACGTCTAGACTGCAAGCTTCTGTCGAAAGAAGCTTTTGCGGAAGAGAGCTTCCAAAAAAACATCTTCTGAAAGAGAGTGTCCACACTTCAAAAGCGCATCAAAAACGTGATCTGCTTTTTTGAAAGAGAACGTCCACACTCATTGGACGCTCTCTTGCATTTAAGCTGTGATTACTCTGTGCGGAGTGGCCACCAGGGCACTTGCGCTTTTTCCTGGAGGCCTCTTCTTTCGAAAAAACTCCCTCTTCTGCATCCACACATGCCTTTTTCCGAAAGAGCTGTTTTGGAAAAGGCGTTTTTCCTCGTAGAATGAGGTTTACCAATGTCGGAAACCCGCCTTTCTTTTGGTTTTCTTTTGAAAGAATGCAATTGCGGTGTGGACGTAGGTGACGTTTTTTTCAGAAAAATGGCCGTTTTTCCCAAAAAAACCCTGTAGTCTAGACACACCCTGAGACATTTTACCATGCAAGACCCCGCATTTCACCGAGTGAAGCAAAAATCCATCAACTTCATGAAGAAGCGCGCAGATACAGATAATCCCCTGTATATTTTATTAGTCCCTTAGGTGTCACAGGACTACTCACATATGTGCATGTTTGTCAGGCTGAAAGCAAATGGCAAAATAGCGCCATTTCCCAATTTTTAACCTGCTGTGTTGATGCCATTTCTTTCCTTCAGAAAAACTCATGGGCCAAATTCTGCCCTTCAGAACATCCTTGAAACCCCATTCACTTCACTCGAGCAGCAGGGATGAAACTGAAAGCAAAGTTTGACCCCCCTCTTTAAAGAATCCCTTACTGCATTCTTGGCAATGCCCTTAGTCGTTAAAAACGAAACTCCTTTTTTTTAAATGATTTTCCTCATCAACACTATACATTATTATTATTATTATTTACTTCCATGCACTTCATTCAGCCCGTGCAATGCAATTAGGCTGTGCTGTTTCCAATCACGTTTCCATAGAATCATAGAATATTAAAACTGGAAGGGACCTCAAGAGATCATCAAGTCCAGTCCCCTGCGCTTGTGGCAGGACCAGGCACCATCTAGATCATCCCTGACAGGTGTCTGTCTAACCTGCTCTTAAATATCTCCCGTGATGGAGATTCCACAACCTCCCTAGGCAATTTATTCCGGTGTTTAACCACCCTGACAGTTAGGAATTTTTTCCTAATGTCCAACCTAAACTTCCCTTGCTGCAGTTTAAGCCCATTGCTTCTTGTCCTATCATCAGAGGCCAAGGAGAACAATTTTATTCCCTCCTCCTTGTAACACCCTTTGAGGTTCTTGAAAACAGCTATCATGTCCCCTCTCAGTCTTTTCTTTTCCAAACTAAACAAACCCATCTTGTTAGTCTTTAAAGTGCTACATAGTCCTGTACTTTGCTTAAACAAACCCAGTTATTTCAGTCTTCCGTCATAGGCCATGTTTTCTAGACCTTTAATCATTTTTGTTGCTCTTCTCTGGACCCTCTCCAATTTCTCTGCATCTTTCTTGAAATGTGATGCCCAGAAAAGGCACAGAACTCTAGCTGAGGCATTGCCCAGTACCATGGAGAGTCCAGACTTCATTACATCCGAGGATTACCTGCTCCAGTGTCCTGTATCTAACAGGCTGTGTCTAAACTACATGGCTCCGTCGACAGAGCCATGTAGATTAGGGTTATAGGCAAAGGATAATGAAGCGGCGATTTAAATAATCGCCGCTTCATTTAAATTTACATGGCTGCCGCGCTGAGCCGACAAACAGCTGATCAGCTGTT